TTGAGCTCGGACTAAAAAATTATATATGTATTTATTTTTCTTAATTTTAGTTAGTTCATATCATAATATATTTAAATTATATTAAATACAGAACATATGAACAAGCAGCACTAAGAAGAGTTATAATTTTATGAAATATTTTTAATTTTACTAAAAATAATTAGTGGAAATTAGACACGTAACCTAATACAACTTATTCAAATCTTTCACCAAAAATATTTTAAATTTTACATAGGGCCAATTATAAATTGGAGCCCGGGCCAAATTATAATTTTAATCCGGGTCAAATTATAATTAATTATATAATTATATATAATAAGTATAATTTGTTAAAATTTAAATCGAACCGAGACCATATTAATAATACATGTGGCTCCGCCGCTGCTAAACAGTAAGTTTAAGTGAGGGTCCATATAAAATTCAAGTTAAATCACTTGTGCAATGATATATAATTGTGTATTTTTTTATTCAAATTAGAACAGTAATTTATACAACTTTGAATAATTAATTCATTGAAATTTTGTCATCTTAAACTTTCCGAGATACCTATCTCAATGCCTTGCCCGTTTGAATGGCTGTTGTTTGCTCTTCTATTTACATGACTAAAGTCAAAAGGGTCAAGTCATTTGTGCTAGCAAGCCATGTGCGTGGAAAGGAAGGAGCTGGAATAAAAAGTACTTTTTCACCTCACCTAAACCTTTGAAGTTTGAATCTTAGGCTTTGTTTTAGATTTGCGTGAACTCAAACGGATAAAGGTGGGAATGCACCTCTTTAAATCATAATAATGCAAATTTCATAAAACATTGTGTTGAAGAAAATCTCAAATAAGTTAATTAATAAGTAAAATATCTTTTTTGGTTCTCATCAAATTTCATGTTGCTCCTTTTAGTCTCTAACAAATAAAAAAGTTCATTATGGTTCCTAAGAAATTCAAAATGAACCCATTTAGTTGAAATCGTGGTCCCTCACAAATTCAAAAAAGACCCATATTAGTCCTCAAAAAGACTAAAATGGATCTATTTTGAATTTTTTAGAGACCACGATGGATCTTTTTATTTGTTAGGGACTAAAACGGATCTCGTGAAATTTACTGAGGACCAAAAATAATATTTACTCTTAATTAATTATGTATTTTAGGAACAAGCAAATTTGACCCCCGGACTAAATTTGGATCCTCGTAACAATGACTATATATGTAACTTTACTATCATATTGGGGCTAACCAGCTAAATAATCTTTCTCCATTTATGTTGATTATTTTATTATTAATTAACAATAAAAATTTTTTTGTCTAATTTGCATAATTCTCACTCAGCCACAAAACAAATGTTAATCATATGATTAAAACCAAAATTATAAGGGGTTGAAACTTGAAATGCCCCTTGTTGAGAAAAAAAGTTAATATGATTCCGGGTGCAATGCACCTTTTTTCAAAAGTAAAAAAAAAAAAAAAGGACATGGAAAGAAATAAGTAAAATGATAGAGTTAAAAGTGTCATACAAAAATTTTAATTTGAGAAAATAGATCACTCAATGATAATGCACCCGTTCCATATTAACTTTTCTCATTGTTGAGGTGTGCCAATGCCCAATATTATATTCCAGAAGAGACAGTGCTTGCAATCTTTTAACCCGATTATTAAATTATACTTAAAAACTAAGTAAAGTTATCTGCTCTCACACAAAATATTATTTAAAAGCTTAAACGCAGTCAAAACAAAATATTATTCAAGTCGCCATTGTTTGATGTTGAGTATAAATGCGGCTTTTTGGTAGCCAATAGCCATAGACCATTTAAAAGTATTTCTTTCCATTCTATATCACTTTCAAAACAGATTCACACCATGTACCACTTTTACTACATTGACATGCTTTAATTTTTAAAGAATATTGTCTTTAATATTTTAAAATTATAAATTTTATTATTTTAACCATTTACAAAATTTATATTAATTTAAATGTTTTTATTATAAAAATGATATCAATTTATTTATTTTTAAAAAATTAACACTGGAAACAAGTAATTGTTACCACAAATTGTGCAGTGGAACATTGCAATGAATGGCTGCGACAAACAAAAATATTTTGCTCCAGATAAGCGACTGCAGTGATTAAAAAGAAAACTATTTTGCGGCATGTTGATCTATCGCAAAACATCAAATTACTAATTTAAAATTAAATTATATTAGCGACGGAAAAATCTTTTTGGAAATTTTAAAATTTTTGTCACAAATTTGTGAATCCAATTCCGCTTAGATGTCAATCTTGTGGCGGAAATGCAAATATTAAATTTCTTATAAGGTGATATCAATTTAGGTTTTAAGACTTACAATTTGCATATAAGAAAATAATTTTGATGTTATTTTTATAATTAATTAATTAAATTAATTTTTTTTTTGGTTTATAATTAAATTAATTTTAAGATTATTATTATTATGTAAGAAACCTAATAAGAACATAAAAAGATGTATACCACATTTGTTTTTACAGGGTTAATAAAGAACATATGGAATAAGGATTAGTCTCATATTTAAATGATGAGAAATATTTTTCTTATGTTGTTGGAGATGAGTTATTTTATGTTAGTGAAACAAAATTATAAGGGAGATCCACGAATGATTGGAGAGAAAAAAAAAAATAGAGATGAAACCCATCGTTATATAACTCAAACCTAATAAGAACATAAAAAAAATCTGTAACACATATTTTTACAAGGTTTTCTCATTTGGGGTGCCAAGACTGCCCCATTCTCACTAGTACTTTACCTTGACTACTTTGAAGTTTTGCTGTTTTTTTTTTTAAAAGTATTACAAATGATTCATGAAATTGTTTTGAAATGATTAGAATAAAGGTGTCAAAAAGCCGTTCAAATGCTTTATGACTCCTTGATGAAAAAGGTGTGTCATGTTTGCTGAATAAAGATCCACATTTTTGGGTCATAGGAAAGTGGGGGGAAACAGTGGAAATCCCACACAAGTTTTGCTATTATTTTAAATTTTAGCTTTTGACAAACGATCATCCAAAATTTAGCTTGAGCTACTCACATATTAATCCAACAAAACCTACATATGTATCAATTTATTCATCTTCAATTTGCAAAAATGCATTTTTCTAAAGGCATGTCATGTGTTATGTGAATGTTAAATGTCCTAGGATGTGGTAACGTGGGAGAATTTTTTATATAACCACATCTACCTATATAAGAGTTATTAGATAAGAGTTTAACTTATTTTTCAAATCATTTAAATTATAAGAGTTAAAGAATATTAATGTTTGTGCTTTTATATTTAGTTTTATCATTTGAAAAAAAAATTGAACCATTATGAAAATAGAATGGGTATAAATAATTTAGAAAGAAAAAAAGGGAGATGAATGATTTTGATGTATGATAAAAGGATTTAAGAAAGATTGTTTAAAAATGGTTTTAAGAGAGAGAACAAATACTAAGATAATTAATAAATAAATTTAAAAAATACAATAAAAATAAAGAAAGCTAAGAATATCAATAGGGATAGTAAAATATTAATAACCAACGAACCAAAAAACAAAAACAAAAACATTAATAACCCACCTTAAAAGAGTCTCTTTCCCACCATTTACTTATTAAAAAAAAAAAAGTCTCTTTTGTAATATGGATTCTAGTTCTTTGATTGAACGTGAAGCTTATAAACATGAAACATCTGCGCGCATGTCTCTCTCACGATTGCTCGCTTGTGATTTTGCTGAATTTAATATATGTAATCGTGGAACTGATAGGTTCTCTTTGTTTTGTTTTTGTTTTTTAAAAAACTAAATTTAAATATTTTTTAAATTGAAAATTTGAAACATATGTAATTTATATATTATTGCTGGTATTTCACGTCACTCTATCTCCTCTCATGGAAAAATTACAATGCAGAATCTTGTTTATTTTATGGGTTTATTTTTTCTACAATTAATATAGGTAAATTATCTATATTGAACCTAAAACAACGATGGTTAGAAGCGAAAATCAAGGTATTTTTATAATTATAATTTATTTCAGGATTATAATAGTCTTTTTTATTATAATTTTTTAATTTTTCAACCAAAAATGACGTCATTTTGAGAACAAATATAGATAAGTTATTTATATTTACGGTAGAAACATTAAGCCTTATTTTATTCATATTTTAATTTTAAATAACAGTGTAATTATTACTATTTAATATTCACTAACTTTTACTCTTTTAAAAAAAGACTAAAATAGAGTGAATGTAAAATAAACTTGTGAAAAAAAGAAGAAGCAAAAGTAAGTAAAAAAGGATACAAATTATTTTTTAAGCTTTATTTACTGCTATAAAAAAAGGATAAAAAAGATGAGAATTGAAAGGAGAGAATATGGCAATGTTTGAATGCTGTTTCTAAGCACAATTTTTTTTTAATTTTCAGAAAAAAAATAAAAAATCTATTTGATAAAATATGTTTTAATTTTCTGAATAAAAAGACAAAAAAATCTGTTTGATAAGATTTATTTTGTAAAAAGAAAAAATTTAAAATTGTAACTATTTTTTTATTTTTAAAACTAAATTTAAAGAATATATTTGAGTTGTTTTTATTTTATATTTTCACTTTTAACTTTAAAATAAAAAAACACAAATACTTATTTTCATAATTATTTTATAAAATAATCTTAAGGAAAAAAAAATCAGGACACAATAAAGCAATAGCTAGGAATGGACATACTCTTTTTCTCACTTAATTAATTATAATTATTAAATATACATAAACCAATGATTAAGATTCTTTTTATTATTAAGTGATCTCACTTTTTTTTTTTTTTTTTTAAGTTTTAGTGTGCATGTATTTTGTAAAAAATACGTATTATTAGATCGACATAGATAGATATCCATTGACTGCGCTGAAACCTGCGAACAGTGAATGAAACACATTCCAAGTAACATGTTTGAAAGGTCTTCATGGTCTTTCTCTCACTTCTGTCTCTATCTTTTTTTCTCTCTCTCTCTCTTTCTGTGTTCCACCACGCGGGTGTTATTATCTTCCACACCCACTTCTTCCCAGTTCCCATTTCATATCATTTAATTTCTTTCACTCCACGGAAATTTTTCCTTTCTTTTCTCTTTTTTCAGTCTTTTCTCTGTTTTTTCTGTTCCTCTTTAACGTTGATCATTATCCTCCTTTTCTTCATTATATATAATATACTACAAGCTCCAATTTTTCTCATCTGGGGTTCTCCATCAACTTCACTTTTTGGATTATTCCCTTCTTTCCCTTGAGCTTCTTTATAAGCTTCATGATTACAAAATGAAGTGTTTCTTCTTCAAAGATAAATCCAAATCTGCCCCGGAATTGCAGAACCAAGGCAAGAAGAAAAACCCGGTTTTGAATCGCCCAACAAACTCCACAGGCTCATTATCATCACCAAAGAGCGTGAAGGACTTGTACAATGAGAAAGAACACAACTTCAGAGTTTTTACTTTTCAAGAGCTAAGAGATGCTACCAACGGTTTCAACAGGATGCTGAAGATTGGAGAAGGGGGTTTTGGGAGTGTATATAGAGGATCCATTAGGCCTCAAGATGGAAAAGGTGATCCAATTGTAGTTGCTATAAAAAGGCTTAACCCTCGTGGCTTCCAGGTATACATGCTTTACTTTTCTTCTCTTCTCTTCTCTTTTTGTTCATGTAATTGTTTTTTTTTTTTTTTTTTTGGTAATAATTGAAAGAACTATTGCTGGACCCTTGTCATATGATATAGTTTACACATGCTACAATTGATTTAATGTGGCTAAGTGTTTTAGTATTTTATTGCCCTCCGTTGTTGTGATCTGGTGAAGGTAATATTTGATGCTTTGGGATCCACAGCTGTTAGGAATTTGGACCTATATGATACTTTGGAATGAACAAAGTATTTGCTATGATAACTATGTTATACTGTCCCTTCCTCCCCCCCCCCCCCCCCCCCCCCCCCCCCCCTCTTGATGTGGATGCTGTATTCTTTTGTTAAAGTGTTCTGGTTGCGCATTTCTAAAAAGTACATGCACTATGAGAAGTAAAATAGAACTTTTAGAAATTCAATGAGATAGTTATTTAACATGTTAAGTTTTGTTTAACAAGCATGAGAAATGTTGTAATTTATTTGCGTCTACGTTGTTGTCTCTTGGTCATTGACTGAATCTATTATTGTTGATGCAGTAAAAGATCAGTGATTGTGTAATGTTAATAAGCAGGATTTGCGTAGGGAAAAATCCATTAATTACACTTTGTGAAATTTCTCCGTAGAATATATCTAAAGATCATCATGAATCAGATAACTCTTTCTGCATATGACTTAAAAGATCCAGGATCACATCAAGTCCTTGGCATTGTCATTACTTGTTTGCCACTGAATTATCGAAATACTTTTATTTTACTTTACAAAAATACCTGCATTCTTATGCCTTTTTTTTTTCCTTGTAAAGGGTCATAAAGAATGGCTTGCAGAAGTTCAATTTCTCAGCATTGTTAGTCACCCAAATTTGGTTAAGCTTTTGGGATATTGCTCAGTAGATGGAGAAAGAGGAAAACAGCGGCTGTTGGTGTATGAGTTCATGCCCAACAGGAGCTTGGACGATCACCTCTTCAACAAAGCTCTTCCTCCCCTGCCTTGGAAAACAAGATTGGAGATCATGCTTGGTGCTGCTCAAGGATTAGCTTATCTACATGAGGGACTGGAGATTCAGGTACATTATCATTAGGCTCATACTTTCAAAGAGTTGAAATTTGTTGTGGAGTGCATGCCATCTTTTATTTAACATTTTCCAATGTAAACTTCATAAACAATATTCGTGTATTTCTCCTTTGTGTCTGAGTTGGTAACCATTCTTTATGTTCATACAGATATTAAAAATTGATTAAGCTTTCTGTTTTTTGGGTCACACATGCTGAATGTTCCAACAGCATGTTTGTTTCTGTCATAGTAGAACTAATGAAATATACATACTAGTATATCCAAACTTTTCGTGGGTATGATGAGAATGATATTGCAGGCTTACAATGATGATGCAAATGATTGTGAAGATTCTTATTGTGAATTGTATATCTGAATACCTATTTGGGTTGATAATCTTTTCAATTTTATGTTGGGAAGGTGATCTACCGAGATTTCAAATCTTCAAACGTTCTTTTGGATGCGGATTTCCACCCAAAGCTCTCAGATTTCGGTCTTGCTAGAGAAGGTCCACAAGGTGATAAGACTCATGTTTCTACTGCGGTAAGTAAGTTTATGATGGATATGTATTCTCAAGTGCTAAGTTACATTTCTTTAAAAATCCAATTCTTTGAAAAGCACTTAAGCTATTAAGTGATAGTCACATTAATGATTTTATATATTATATCTCGAACACTAAGTTGTAAGCCTTCAATATTAAGTTGTAAGGCTTCACTTACATACAATCATTATGCACCATTCCTTAAGCTATGATTTAAGTAGCATTGCTTTTGATCCTATTCATCTACAATATTAAGTTATGAACTTATGAGTTTATACCAATGAATTCTATGCATTCTTTTGTTTTCAGGTAGTTGGGACACAAGGATATGCTGCACCAGAGTACATTGAAACAGGTCATCTCAAAGTTCAAAGTGACATGTGGAGTTTTGGTGTTGTACTCTATGAGATACTCACAGGAAGGCGTTCATTGGAAAGAAGCCGTCCAACAGCAGAACAAAAGCTACTAGATTGGGTTAAACAATATCCTGCTGACAGTAGCAGATTCAACATGATAATGGACCCACGTCTCCTGAACCAATCATATTCTCTTGGTTCAGCTCGCAAAGTTGCCAAGTTGGCTGATAGCTGCTTGAAGAAGAATCCAGAAGATAGACCATCCATGAATCAGATAGTGGAAAGCTTGAAGCAAGCATTGCTATGTTCAGAAACATCAAACACTTCTCAAAATGCTGCCGAATCATCTCGGTCTAAATTGGTTCGAAAAGGTAAATAGAGAGAAGTGGATCCTCTCGTGTGTTATTTAATATGACCATGTCTTGTGATAGGATCCTAACCATGAGCAGTTATAATTCTCTAATTACATGATATGATCATGTTAAATAACACGTGAGATGATTCATTATATAAAGGGATGTGAGTTTTTTGGACTGGGAAAGTTGTCAGTTAAACATAAGTTGAATAGATATATCTTCTATATACCATCAAGCAGTTCTGGTCAATCTTAGAAGTTAGATTTTGAAGAATTTTCCTTTCTACAGATCTGCATTTGAATTTTCTGGTTTGTTTGGTCCAGTTCAACAGAGCCAAGTCCTTTCTCTATTTTGTCAACCATTGCCTTTTATTATAGAGTTTAAATTTGATTGTAGAGTATTTTCTATTAATAAAAACAATTCTTTCTTGTAAGTAGTCAATCTCAATGTAATATTAGATAGAAGGGAGAGGTTATATTTACCGCAAGTAATTTTATTATTCTTACTACCTCTCGTATAATCTTAAGACAAAATTAAATCAATGGTTGTCATTTGAAATAAATTTTCCTTCTCTCTCTTCAACCACTTTCTCCACTCCTCTCACCTTCTCTTTACATCATGCTTCACTGTTTACTATTTAACTGTTGTAAAAAAAAAAATAGCAAGGGAGAAATTTTTTTTTTATTTGGAAATCACAATTATTAGGAATATGGTGGAAAAATAAATTTACTGGAAAAGTTAAAAAAAAGTTATTTGATAGGTCGAAATAGTATTAGGAAAATCAGTTTAAGTTTTTCGAGTCTATGTTTGGTTGAAGATAAAATATTGTTGGAAAAAATGAGGTGAAATTACGAAAGTAATCCTTGCCTAAAGTGTAATTTTTTTTAAACTCTCTATAAAGCTGGAAAAAAAAAAGAATTGAAAAAAAAAAAAAACAAACCCAGTTTTCCCATAGAAATCAGAATACCACCCTCTGAGTGGTGTTCTCAAGTGGTGGTTTGTTCTTAATTTTACACACAATGTTACTTTTCTATGCAAATTAGAACTCTGGGCAATTTTTAAAATCCTTACCAAACACAGCTTTCTTTGAATTTCATGTGTACTTTCTCAGGCAACAAATCAAAACTCCCCTACCAAATACTTTCTTAGTGTTATATTTAGTTGATGATAAGTATAATCTTTCGGTTAGATAGACATAAATAAGGGTAATTTAATTATTATCTAAATTAATTTCAGAAAAAACATTTAGTTAACCTAAAAATTAAATAATTCAATGAATTAACAATTACTGAGGTGGTTGTATATTCCGACGTGCCTTTTGTTATTTGTGTATGGACCCCAAGCTTGGTCCATCGGAATTGGAGACTGAAGTTAGAATATTTTAAAGAAAGATGGAGAATATTTTCGTTATTGTATCATCTTCAATCTTATAGCTAAAAATGGAGAGAATTTATCGTGGTTCGAGACCATAATTTTTTAGGTGATTTCTTAGTGTAAATGAAAGAGTAAAATTGAAAAAAAAAAAAAAAAGTAAAAAAGGAAAAAAAAAATTAGTGTTGTGAGAGAAAACATCAAATTATTAAATGGTCATGAATCATATTAAATATTTCGCTAAAACTGGTGTGCAACAAAACTAGCGTACAACCAAACAGTCGAAAAGTCTATTCCTATTGGATATTACCACCTTCTAACAAAGCTGCCTGTGGATTTCCAAATTTGTCCAATTCAATACTTGTAACCTTTTATTATTAGAAAATTAAAGCCGTATCCAATTAAGTCATGTCTTAATCAATTACATTTAATGTTTCTCTTAATTGGGTTGGGGGATCCGTCATCCGTGTGTATGTTAAAGAAATGAGTTGTTGGCAGCTGTTTTTTCTTCTTTTTGACTTGAATGGATAAAAAAACAATAGATGATGTGTGTTTGGAATAAATTTTTGGTATTATTACTATATTTAGATTTAGTACATCTCATCAGTAAGAGTAGTACATATCAGAGGAGAAAGAAAAAATTTAACTGACATATAATATTTTCATTGGTAAAATATACTGAATCTTTGGTACAACAATAATATCAAAGATTTATTTCTCTATTTGATTGTGTTGTTCATAGAAAATTGAAATGGTAATTGATTGCTTTAACAATTTGGCGTTGAAACTTATTCTAAAGGTAAGTCAACAATACCTAAGTGCATACGTCATTCACATGGCACCATTCTCGTCATCAATACCGTAATGCGATTGTGGAGCTTTAAATAGACTGTTTGGAAGATCACAGATGAGAAACGTTATCACAGTTGAACCGGCACGTGCCACGTGGACCTCACCTCCCAAGTTATTGCTCCCTTTATGTTAATATAAAAATTGATTATTTGAGATCCCGTGAACCGGATTAAACTTAATATGATACTTAATTTCATTTTTTTTTAGAAAATGATATTTCACCCTTGCCACTGAACAGGTGGGTTAAGCTGTTCGTTCATCTAATTTTTATATGGTTAAGCTGGGCCTGCTGATTTTAAAAGGCCCACCTTGAGTTAGTGGTGTTGGTCGATTGGATGGGTTTGAGTATGTGAGTAAGCCCACAAAAAAGAAAGAAAAGTGTTGTGTTAATAAAATTGGGCATTAGATTGCATAGGTCGCAAAAGAAAAGAAAAGAAAAGAAAAAGAAAAAGAAAAGGCAGCGAAATCGGTGAATGGAGAAGAGGCTGAGTCTGGTTCAGGCCATTGCCACTGCTGGCGTTTTTTCTGCAATTTCCTTCTGGTAATTCTCACTCTCACTCTCGCTCTCGCTCTCCCTCTCGCTCTCGCTCTACCAATTCAATTGATTATTCGAATTATAATTTTGGAATCCGTTGTACTTCAACTCAGGTATGGGTTCATGTTTGGCAGAGAGTCCTCTCGTAAAGAGCTTTCTAACCTAATCGAAGATCTCCGTCGCGGAAATCCCACTTCCTCCTCCTCCCACTCTTGAAAAATCACTGTTCCCCTCCCCTTCCCCCTAACAATTTTGTAACTAACTTCATTGTACACGTTGCTTCCAATGTTATCTCTGTTGTAGCGTTAAACATTCTTAGCAATTGAATCCTGAAACACAACAACTTTGTTCAAATAAATTTTGCAGTTTGAACAACTTGACGTGTCCTGATTTTATATTACATGTTACGGTGTTCATGTGTTTCCCGGGATGAAGATGAACCAATCAACATAGAAATGGTGAATATTGGGTTTTATAACGTTAGCAGATGAAGTTTTTTTTTTTTCTTTTTCTCCTTTGTAGTTGGAGTTATATACATTAACATGAAATAAAAATAATATCATGTTGATTATCTCAGGTTTTGGCATGGCATATGCCATTGTTCTTCTCTCTGTATACACATCATAATTCCTATCTCTTTATTACCTTCTTCCCTTTTCCTGTAAAAATTATCTTATGATGCTTTTAACTATACACCATGACTCCTGAACATGCTAATCTATATATATATATATGTATACGTTCACACAAGAGCAACCTCTTGTTTGTGCTTCTTCTGAGTCTCTTTGATGTGCCCAACATAAACATCACTCCCTTTGGAATCATAGTCTGAAAGTCTTTGTATGTTACCATCTTCTGACATGCTTCTTACAAAATCAACTAGGTGCCGCCAATTATCGCCTTCAAACAGCTTCCTATTCAATCTTAGATATGTAAATGCACTCAATCCGTTGCCGGAGTCTGACCTACTTGTTGACAAAACTTGAGCATATGCATCTGCATCATATCTCTCCAATGCATTTTCCCCAGCAAGTTCTACTCTGGCTGTCCTTGTTACCATCTTTACCTGCTGAACTAACCCTTCGGGTGAGCAATTTGCATGCTCAGGCTGGTTTCTGTCTTTCATTTCCATGCAGGTGAAATTGAAGACGACCCCATGTTTTGCTAGCATTCTTGCTATTGGTAGATACCCATCATTATATCGTGTGTTATAGTAGCCGGCAGTTAGTTCAGCTGCGTGGGATCTTGCTTTGTAATGCCAATGGATTCCAGCAATTTTTCCAGATATTTTCACCCCTGATGTTTGGAATATTCCTTTGGCTGAAGAAAGGATCCTCTCACCGTGTTCCAGCAATTTGCTGGAGTACCATTCCAGAAAGAACCGTCCATATTCAGAGTTCCATGTTCCTTCCCTTTTGAAAAATCCAGTATCCTCAGGAAATTGATTGTACTGGCCGGAGTCATGGGGTCCACTTGTTCCCCATTCTTTCTTTCCAATGGCGTCCGCTGCCGCTATCAAGGACACTTTCATGTACTGCATGATAAACAAGTCATTTTAGTCACAATAGATATTTTGAACTTGTTATCCTCAAAGCTAGTGATGAGTTGTTAGGGTCCCATGGTTATGAAACATTACTAACATAACATGCTTTTGGATTAATGTACAAAAATAGTTTAAATTATTGCTTTTCATACCTTGTCATAGCATTGGAACTCTCCAATTCCGGGAAACCTCCAAGTTCCATTGCTTTCTGGATAAGATGGATATCTCAGCTCCCCACAAGGACCCATCCCCGCTTGTATTTCCTGCAAAAGTATTGCTCTTCGAATTTTAAATCTCATTCAATGCACAGGGGGACCGTGAAAAAGACATGGAAATAGCGATGTATCAAGCATCAAGGTCGAAGTTCATTGTCAATTATTACTGCTCCCTTCCATTATCCAAAATTTTAATTTATAAAAGGTCTATTTTTTGTACCAAAAAAAAAAAAAGGTCTAATTTAATTAATACCTTAATTTGATTAGTCCACCATCCAGATATGCCCAAGACATTTTGCAAGTTTGTATGGTTGCTATACTTAGCTCACTGCTATATCAAAATTATAACTGAATTTCTTCTATATCTTGTTTGTTCACTAACTCCAAAATTGTAGTTCATGAAACACGCATTCCAAAATTGGATTTTGTGAGACAAATAATCTATAATACACTTGAGCTTGCTAAATTTTATTATATTGCCGTATCTGTATCCTAGATCAGTTTAATAGTTTGTAGCACAAGTTGCTGTATTACTTACCACTATAACACTGCCCAAGTAATCTCTGAATCTGTCACGAAAGCTCCTCATGTAGTCGGTGTACACTTGGAGGGGAGTCCTTCCTTTTAGAACAGGCACTGAATCACAGCCCAAGGAGATGTACTCAGGGTTCCTCCTCCCTGATCTGTCTGTGTAAACCATGTCAGGGTTCCTGCTGATTTCTTCCAGCACCCATGGGGGTAGAGGAATGCTGAAAAAATGCAACAGAAAGAAATTGTAACAAAAGCTTTTTATCTGGTCTTTCAGTACTCCTCCTAACACAATCAATTAGCTCATATCATCCACCATCTTTAAGAAGATAACAGTTGTGCTGCATTTTATTTAAATTTTCTACTTTTCCACAACATGGAACAATTCAAAAAGGATTATGCTCTTTCTTTCAAAACATGACAATATCTTTTACAAGTAACATAAAACAAGTAGTACTCTCATACCTGCAGGAGTCTCCAACATTTCCTCCACACTGATGGAAAGACATAACAACTTGAAGCTTCAAACCATGCAATTGTACCATCTGCACAAGTTCAACATAGGCATTCCAGTTGTACTTCAAAGGCCCGTCTTTTTCCACCAAACCCCACCAAACATCCACCATTACCCCTTCAACTCCTGCACTCTTCAGGGCCATCAAACTAGCATTCATTGCTTTCGGCTTATTCAAGTGTCCTCCCATTGTTACCGTGTCCAGTGGCAGCATCACAAATACGGGTACTCTCTTCGAATCATCATGTTTATGAGCAATTGATGGAGCATGCACCTTCTCACGTATGTGATGTGCTTCTTGCACGGAATTACTTACTTGGAGACGGAAAGATGGCTTAATTTTTGCAAAGCTGATTGTGGCAGAGACATCAGCAGAAGTTTTAAGGACTTTGGTTTCTTTCTGGTTAATGAAAGAAAGTGAAGAACGAAGTGTTAAAGCCATTTTTTTTTTAAAAGATGGAGGAAAGATATGAATTGCTTAATATGGTATGCGTTTATTTATAGAAGGAACTATGGGGTTTGGGAATTGAAGTTGACAACATTGGTGGGCTCTAGCTGAAAAGTGGAAAAAGTGGAAAAAATCAAAACTAGTCTGTTCTGTTTGACCCTTCCTTACGTGTTTCCACCTCTTCCATTCTTATCTAACTGAAAACGTATGGTCTTCAGTTTTTAACGGTTGTTTACCTACTGTGCTCAGTTATGTATTCCATTCTTTGTTTTTTTTTACCTTGCTACTTTTTGTATTATATTTGACCGACCTATCCTGTTATGATAAATATTACCCTTATCACAAGTCCTTTGAGTTAATCCCTATCAAATAAGGCAAATTTTATGCAGACCTGCTGCATGTTTGGTTCAGCTTAATTATAAGGAAATAATTATGGGTGTTTAAAGAAAAGGAAAGAAAAATTATGTGACTAAGGATGAAGTAAAATGGCATCTTTTCTTCTTCTTTTTTCTGATAATTGGCTAAGAGATTATTCACTGCTTTCAAGTGAAAACTGAAAAGTTCAAGCCATTTGCTGAACAAGGAACCACGTATCTTGAGGCTGTGCAATCCCATTGACATTTTGAATTAACTGTCATCATCTCTTTTTCCTTATTATTTATTTTTCCTTAATTTGTTTTTTATATGGGTTCATCTATTGCCGAGGCTAACTAATTTGTAAGTTGATGTTGATTATTTATTTTAAGCAGAATGAAATGGCACTTGTCCCAGTTTGTGACTTTGTGCCTAGATCAATGCATAGACTTACTGTACATCAATAGTTTCCATGATATTGAGTTCTGCTAAACACTCTGTACTATTTGAGGTACAATAGTTTGCCTTAATAAATGTTTGTTTCGTTGTGCTTGAACCTGAAATGAAATGAATAATAAAGAATCAGCTCAAATTAAAAATTAAAATGTTTCCCTATTTGATCCATGTTGCTGAAATTTCTGACCGGGAATTCCCAGACAGCAACTGCAAACAACTATTTTAGTGTAGCCAAAATTGACTGTTGATTTTTTTTTTTTTATGTTTTGTTTGTGATATTGCAAACTTATTGGCATGATAACTTTTGAGTGGTTTTGTGTTGCCGCCATAAGACAAACCCCACCAAATGAGCTAGCATGTCATTGGTTTATGTCTTAGACCCTTTTATTGCAAACTGGGTTTTCGTGGATGAAAATGTCTCATGATTTCAACATTTTCTTGGTTCTGGTTCTCCTTGCTCAAGATAAGAAATGCTGAATGTTCATTTAGTTGGGGAAACATGTGGTTCAGAGTAAAAAGTAATTGGTTTCATTAGTATTGGACTGTTCTTTCTGCGTGTTTTTGACAGCTACTCAACTTTTCATACTATTTCAGGTTCAACACATGCATTTGCTTAATGGGCACTATAAGAATCTTAATGTTGACCACTAATGTATAGTCATTGAATATGAGGCGTTGCATGAATAATTAAACAGATAATGAGGAATCTCTATCTGTTAATATTTACTATTTGATTATCCTTATTTGTCTGTTAGGTTAATACTCATTTTAAATAAGATACATATAAAGTTTCATTAAGACTAGCACTTGTGCAACTCGCATGGGGTCTCTTATGTGTGTATGATTTTCTGATAAATCTTATGGGCAGAAAGTCATAACATTTTGCTTTCAGGTCGGTCATGCTCATCATGAGTCTGTGATCGTGCCGACTCCTTTTAAATGAAAAAGTAGTGTCAAAACCCCTGCATCTCATGGGATTACAAAATAAATTAAATCAAAACTTAATATTCCGTAAAAATTAGATATTGTTTATATTATGTTATAGGAAATTATAAGCAAAAATCATTTGGAGAAGAAAAAAGAAAATAAGATAGTTAATTATTTGAAATTTAAATTCTTAAAATAAAAAACAAATGAGACATTTATAAATATATATGTTGAAGACACATCATATTCTGCATGCATAAACTTTGTTAACTGAAACATACATCATGGTTTCTATTGCTATATTCAGAGTGGCATAAGTAAGCAAAAGATACATATTATTAGAGGACAGACATGCAGATTAGGAAGAACTTGGTTAACTAATATATATTTTCGGTGATAATGCATAGGCATCAGATATGGAACGCGGAAGTATTCAAGTTGGGCAAGTTGATCTTCTTGATTAAGATGGATGATTCAGAATGTTTCAAAAAATGCTTGATTTGTGATGATTTGTACTCTATCCTAGGAAGGGTTATTGAGATGAGCTGTGTGCACGTAATTCATAGGCCTCTATCATTGCAATTTTGTGGAGGAAATGGAACCTTATCTTTCCGTTTGTCACACTTCCTCTCTCTCAACTTAAAAAGTCATAGAAGAATAAAAAAAAAGTTTGATTAACCGATGAACATAAGGAACATATAAACAAGTGAGCCTCAATATTATGTAAGAAATTAACAATTTAAGCGGGGTGTATTGGATTGGGATTTCAAAGGATTTTAATGAATTATTTTTGGATAAAAAAATTCATTGGTAGTTTAATTAGGATTTTAAACAAAGAAAAAAATAATCTTGTGGTATTCAAAAATATGACGATTTTAATGGATTTTTCCATTAGTGAGGATTTCGTGAGACTTTTTAGTAAGAAATATAAATAGGATACCTCTCTCACAATCTCACCAAAACCCCTAGGATTTCTTGAAAATTTTCTATTGTAGTGTCTTCTTCTACCTTTGGCGGGTTGATCCACTCGAAATCGCGTTCCGCCATGGGAGTTTCGTCAAAGCTCAAAAACAGCAGATTTTTGAGCAATTTTCATCGCAAAACAACCCAGAAATAACAAACCAACAAGATTCTAATAATCCATCTCAAAGTAGCAAATTTTTTAGAGCTTTTGGAAGTTTAAAAAATAATTTTTTAAGTTATGGGTCGCAATTTTTCTTAGCACAAAAAGGTATGGTTTTTGTATTAAAAACAACATAAAACAGTGGGATAACAACAGTGGAACTAAAACCCTCAAATCAATTTCCGTTTTACATCAGTAAAACAAGATTAATTTTAAGAAAGATTGAAACTTTCATAATATAAACCCTATATTTCGTAACAATACATTTATGAAAGAAATTCCTTCGTTATAGGAAATTATTTCAAACAATTTTTGTGTCAATAGATAACTAAAAACTTGTTTTTCAAAAGTCCCAAAGCAATTTAAGGTTTCAATGTATCGTTTGAAAATAATTTGAGAAATTTTTTAAACTTTTATGTAATAAAACTCAGAAATTCAGATTCGAAATTTTCTTAGAATACTTAATGAAAACATGCATATGATATATTGTTAGAAAACTCTCGATTTGTCTTTCCCTACAATAAGCATGTCGTCAACATATAACAACAATATCAGAAAATCTCCAGCCTCATACCTCTTCACAAATACGCAGTGGTCGGCTTCTGTCTTCTCAAACTTGTGATCAGTCATGAATGATTCAAACTTCTTGTACCATTGCCGAGGTGCTTGCTTCAAGCCATAGAGGCTCTTTTTCAATCGACATACCAAGTCTTTTTGGTCTGGAGCTCGGATTCTTATTTTTGTATGAATCAGATTTTTTTTATCTCAGTAGAAGTGATAATCCCTTTTTGCAAACGAAGACGAAGATGGATAAGGTGAAATCTTTTCTTTTCTCTCACGTAGAACAAAAATCCCAAGGTTTCCAAGATTAATTGCATAAAACTCCAAATGAATTTTATCTTGAACTTTAGGTTCTATATGCAAATTTAAAAATTTTTAATAAATAAAAGTTAGGTTTTATAATCATATATGTATAGCTCTGATACCAAATGAAGAATATAATTTTCAACCCATTGGTCAAACCAAAGAGTAGGAATCTATGAACGAGAAAATGCTAATGTATGAAGAACTAGTATAGTTTTAGATATGTAGAGAACTGTTGCTGTTGCTTAATATTTTTGCATGTTTTACTGATTGAGAAAATTATATTATGTTTTACTGTTTTTTATTAATATCATTGTATTTCTTTGTTATTTTTTTATTGACTCTTAATTTTGAATATTTGTTAAAAATTCATATGATTTTTTAAAATATTATAAATTCATATTGTTCTTTCAAATCTTATAAATTCTATTAAAATTCTTTAAAATTCAATCTTATAAAATATTGATTGTAAAAAAATCTTTTTAAAGAGTCTTTGAAATCCTCCGATTCTAAATAATCTTTTAAAATCTATAAAAAAATATTTTAAAATTCTAATCCAATTAACCTGAGAAATACTACCGACCTTTAATTTAGATTTTGTGTTTTGAAGGATTACTTTTTCGTTAGAAAAGGAATAAGAAAAAGACAGCTTTCTATAGTCTCTCGTGGTGAAATTCACGGATTTCATAAGATTTTTATCCAAAGTAATCCAAAATGGAGGATATCTCTCACTTTCAGAACAAGCCATTTCATTTCATTTCATTTCATTTTTTTTTTTTTTCAATTTTTATGGGAAAGGGGGACGAACCATTCAGACTGGTGATTTAAGTTATGAATGAAGTTGGCATTAAAATTGGTAAATGATAATGGCGTTATGGGATTGGATATGTGGAAACTTCAAATATTAGTCCCTTTTTCTTTCTTAACAAGAATCTAATTTCTTTGTCATTGAAAAATCCCGTCTGCACATTTCTTATTTTCACACTCGTGGCACATGCTGCACCTATTCACCTGTGGTTCTCCGCTAGCTATACGTCTACACCTACTTCAAATCCAAGTGAAACCCCTTTATACCCCTTTCAAGCAATAACCATGCATTTTACACATTTTAAATTTAATAGGGAGAATATATTTTGCATAAGATAAATTATCTCATACAACATAAAAATAATAAATGAAACCAGCTAAAGAGAAAATAGAAAAAGAAATAAAATAAGTTCCATTCACTTTTTTTGTGTTGTAACGTGAAAAACATATTTCCCTTTTAATAATCCAATAACTTGAATGTTGCTGTACATAGGTGAGCTAATGAATTGAAAGCATTGGCGGTATAAGCTCTAGTTATGCAATTCATTCAACATGATTTCCGATAAAGGCTCAGGAACCTTGAAGTAAATTGTAAATAAAATATTTATGGCATAAGTTTCTGCAGTTCCTAATCAGCAACAAGGCTAGATTTTTTTATTTTTTTATTTTTTCAATAAGTAAATATGGAAATGCCAATGAGTTTAGCCACAAAGTGCAAAGCGAACCAGACTATTGCGGAGAATTTCAAAGATAGAGCCAACCCAAAACTAATTCAGCAAAATATTTGGAATTTTGCAAATTTAGAATTAACTTATGCGTAAAATCTAAATTAGAATGCTTTTCAAAATATCTCGAGACTTCCTAGATATTTTCGAAAGAATCTAAATTACAATTATTTTCAAAATATCTCATGACTTGCAAGATATTTTCGTAAGACATGGTAGGGGTTGTCTTTCTCTTTCCAGCACAACTCAAAAAGTTGGTAGAGATATCCAAGGCAACAAACTTTTGATGATCGTGAACTGTATCTCTCATTGTGACATGACTGTATCCCACTCTAAGCTTACACAAGCCATCAAAGCCTTAGATTTTAATAAAAACACATAATAGCATATATATGAAGGGTTTTATAATTCTCATTTAACATGAGAATTACAATTTTCCTACACACCCTTCGATTTCCGAGCTGACATGGGTCCTACATATAATTTTTTTTAACACATGGGTCCCACATGCTTTTTATCTCTACAACATGAGATTTCAATTCTCCTTCAACATGAGAATTATAAAACCCATATATTGAAGACTGAGTTACAAAAAAGAAGCAAACAAGTTCCACAAGAATCATTTCTTTTTTATCCTAGACAAAAGCACCACCAAATGGTACTAGTTCATTTAATTGATTTGTTGCCTTTAGAGGATAAATACAAAGTTATTCCATTGAGAACAACTACTACCATTCCTGGCAACTGATAATTCAAGAATCTGCAATGGGGAAAACAGATCCAATTCGATCTCCAAAACGATAGCACTTGATATTAACTGCATATGGACCAAGCTGAATGTGGTTATCCTCCCTACCGACATAGAAACACAGGGTATACAAAGCAATTTCAAATTCAGGGCTCACTCCAACCATAGTGCTTGATACAGATTTCAGAACACCATTCCATTCAAACTGAATTGTCAAAAGCTGGGTTTCAGAGTCTGGCTGCAAATTAAGGTGGAGAAAACAATTAAAAATGATGTGGTTACAGTTCAAACAATAACAAATGCTTGCTTACAAACATAAAAGTACCAACTAAAAGAGTTATTGTAATGAAACAGAACTATGATTGTTATAATCAAGGCCCTCGTTGTTTTAGAAAAAATAATTTGTAGCTGCTAAAAATTATTTTCAACGTGCTTTGATGTCTAGCTAGTGCAGATGTTTATTACTTTCTGACTTTCTGTTTGGAATAATAGTTAATAGAAAATAAAAAACAAGTTTAAAAGATATCACTCACAATTTCACCCCTTCGACGGGGAAAAATATAGCCTTGATAATCAACTCTCCCCTTTTCTTCTTCAAGGTAAAACTGCCAAAATACATCAATAGGTGAGATAAAAGTTTCACATAATGACAATTCAGATTCAGATTACAAGTTAACGAGACAAAGTACATCCATTTAAGCCCTCGTCTACTCATTTAATAGATTAACAACTTCACAAATAACAAGATAGAATATTATTGGAAAGAAGCATTACAAAAAGTTAAGGGGAAAAATAAAATAACAAAGAAACTAGCTGGTTTAAATAAGTGTACCTGTAGATATAGAATGTGATTGGGAAAATTATCGACATCATAAGATTACTGGAAAGTATTATTAGCAATATCAACTTTGAAGTTATTTACAAGGAGCTAGGTTTACAATATCACTAGACCGGGCATACTAGTCCATAATAATAGAATATAGTAATTGGCTAACCAATGAAGCTGGTAATTATCAGAATGATGGTTGAAAAGCGCATCAAATGACTTACAACATCCTAAGTTTATACTCCATCAATTTCGCATGAATTGTGAATACATACAAACAGCAGAAAGAAAAATAAGAGGTCAAACCTGCAGCCAGTTATGAAAGCCAGAAACTTCACCACGTTGTTTGATTTCTCCAACAAAAACATGTTCAAAAGCAGAAGAGGAACCAGAAGTGCCACCACGGCCATAAAGGTCAAACCACAGACTGGTCATCATTCTTTTGAAATCTTGAGAACTCTCTGACGCAATTCCCTTGGATGCAAGATACTTGTGAAGATATTTAATTGGTGCTGTTCTACTGATTTCTTCTATGAAAGAGGCTTGCTCTTGTCTCTCTTCAGATGTAACAACTTCCTTATATCCTTGATGGGGATTGTAATTATCTAAAAGTGAAAGAAATCGAGCAAAAGTAGGCTTTCTGAATACATGATCATTAACAAAAGTGAACAAGCTCCCCTGTGCCATATCTTCCTTTTGGTAAGCCTTTTTCCCTTCACCACAGTCAATTTCATAGTCTTTGCCAGGTACCAATCTATGTAAATCGAGATCCCAGAGTTTGTCACAAGCTCGTGACAGATCAGCAAGTTCATCTTCTGAGGGCTCCACATCAGCACCAACTTCAACCTCATTACAGTATTCTTGCTCATGAGGAGACCGTTTATAGCCGTGCCAGTTATCCTTTGGAATCTACATCAGTTGGTTAGATCCACCATTCAGATGCAGATAGTGATGCAGCATAAAATGTTCAGAACTAATTAAATCACACATTCAGTGACCCTAACATATAGAATTCAAAGAATATATACCAGTAAGAGCATCACTAACATAATATAAACTATTTAAATTGACACAACACTCAAAATGCACTTTCATAGCTTTTCTAGTTGACATATTGATTAAAACTAGAAGATAAACCTTGTGTGTCTGCCTTGAAGGTTTACCAACTGTCTGCCATCCATCATTGTTATCTTCATCCAACTGCAAAAATAAAAAAATTGAATTTCACCAAAATAGTTAAATTTTAATAAAAAGTATTCTACGTATTACATACTGCATTACATTAAAAGAAGAAATAGAGATTGGCCAATGACCAAGCTTGCTCGATATTCTCAATGTTGCCATGATCTCTTGAAACCAGATTCTCAAATAACCAGTTTAGTGGACCATGTATCTTGGGTATAAATAAAAAAAAATATTAATTTCTCTTATTTTCTTTCCAACAACAATCTTAAACAGTATGCACACAGAGAGAGATAAATTTTAATCAAATCAAGAGCCAACATGAGGCCATATGAAAATGGACCAACCAACAAGACCATAACCATAAGAGCTTGGTTTTCGTATACATCCAGCAAAAACCATGCAGCATCAAAATGTGACTCTGATACCACAAGTTTATTTTCATAACATATATAAGAAATTAGAAAAAAAAAATGGCGAGCTCGAGGAAGGGTAAAGTTGTTCCTTTGTCACCGAAAAATCAAGGATTTGAATATGAAAATCAGTCTCTTTGCAAATATGCAAGGGTAAGGCCATGTAAAAAGATTTTCCTCATCCCACTCTTCCTAGCTGAGGTTTAACGGGGAGTTATATATATATATATATATATATATATAACAAAATGTTGGAAGTGGAGGCTTTGCACAACCAGTTAGTATTATCACTTAGTGACTTGGAGGTCATAGGAGTGTTCGATTCATGTAATCAGTTTCTTGTAAATGGAAGGTAAGGCTGCCTACTATGCACCTACACAATGGTCTAACCCTTCCCTCGACCCTGTGCAGAATAAGAGTTCCACAGCACCGGATTGTCCTTTTTTATATAACAAAATGTTAGATCACATCACAAGAGCGATCTATCTGTCCCTATGACAAATGACCCTAGTAATCTATTACATCCAAGGTAACAACTGAACCAACAATAATGTAGCTAGTGCTTGATGAATAAAGTTAGGTTTCAGCTACATTACATTTCAAAATATCAAGTGATCATTTCTTGAGATCTGCAAACGCATTATTTAAAAACCTCAAAGCTAAGCTTCACCGCACAATTGTCTCTCAAGAGAAAATGGAGCAGTTTTAATTAAGTTGTCAAAATATACCTTGTGGGGTCTGTTGGAAGTGTTGAAACTTTCAGATTCCCACTCCTCCTGCTGAGGACGATATTGTTCCTGCATGTAATGATAACATTGTAACACATTTTAATATCAGTTCCTCCAAGATTAAATTTTTTTACGGTGTTTAATCAAATTGAGAATATGAACTGAAGAAAAGGAAAAAGTGACCTTGTGGGGTGTGTTGGAGATTCTGGAACCTTGGGGTTGCCACTCCTCTTGCTCTGGACGAGTCTGATTCTGCAAAAAAAAAAAAAAAAAAAAAAAATGTTATTGAATTTCGCATAGTAGTAGAATCCGATCAATAAACTGAATCGAAATGCAAACCTGGTGAGTGCGACGATGATGATCCTGATCCTGATCCTGATCTCCGGACACGACCTCAGCCCAAGATGATCTGGAGCGTTCATCTCGTTGTTCACGATCGTGATCGTTGTCGTTGTCGTTGTCATTGACACCAAGAGCAACTTCGACCAAACCCTTGATCAGACCCTCCATGTTACCAGAATGAAGAGTTTAGAGAGAGAGAGAGAGAGAGAGAGAGACTGAGAAATGAGTTGGTTGAATAAAGACGATACGGTTGTGGCGGGTGATTGACCCCACTTATCCAATTTCCTTCCCGACACCATCCTTTAAAATTTTGGATATCCACGTTTACAATGTCGGAAAAAATAAAAATAAGTTATAGTTTAAATTAAAAAATTGTGATTACTATGTTTTTTAATTTTAAATAACTTTTTACTCTCTTTGTTTTTTATTTGATTTAATAGCATAAAATTATTTAATAAATATTAAATTAAAATATAGTTAAAAAAAAGGAATAATAGTTGTCTTGAGTCTTGACTCGTTTATACCCTGGCCAAAGAGATATATAATTCACATTTGATAATAGTTAATTTAGTTTATGGTAATAAATAATGTGACAAAACAATTCAAATACCAATATTATTAATATGTTTCATTGATAAGTTTTTATAAATATTACGGTTAGAGAGAGACGAGAGTTTTAATTAAGATTTGGCTTGTCTAATCTATTGAAAATGAAAATGTATATAAATTATTAAATATATGTAAAATCAACTGTTAATAATAAAAAATATTTATTGTCATAATAATGGAAGTTGATCCCTCCCAGGGTAATAATGTTTGTTTTTAAACACTTTTAAAATAACTCTTTAATATTAAATGAAAAGTAAATGCATTTGAAATTTAGAAACATAAAAAGCATTTAATATTTTTTATTAGTAATTAAGAGGATTGATTAGGGAGAGTTGCTATGCTATCTAGATAAATATGATATCTGTGAGTTGTTATGCTAAGCAGGTAGGGATGAGAGCATGTGTTCGAATTTCCCCAGTACCACCTTTGGGAGGAGTTTAAAGCCTTAATCCTGGACCCGCCCCGAATCGGATTAGTTGCGAAGCAATGAACCGATTGGAATATTTCCAAAAAAAAGATAAGTATGATATCTGTGAGTTGTCATCTTTTTATTAAATGATGGTTTCGTAATAAATTTTAGGCTAAATTATACATTACCCTCTTATTAGGGTTGGCAAAATGGGTCAATTCGCTCGACCCGGTCCAACTCGCATTCAACTCGAAAAAAAGAGTCAGGTTAGGGTTGGTCAGAAAAAAAAAAGCCAAAAAACTCTACTCAACTCGACCCGAGTCAGGTTAGGGTTGGCTTGCGAGTTGGCTAAAAAAAGCTCACGGGTTGGCTCAAAAAATAGCTCGCGGGTTGGCTCGAAAAAATAGATTGTTGTCAATGTGCTCGATTTCTCCAGTAAACGAGAAGAACTCGTGAATCTCTCTATCACCAGCTAGATTTGAAACTTGTTGAACATTAACCGTCCTTGTCTGAAATAATCAAGCCAAAATATAAAAAAACCAAAAAGAGAAAATCAAATAAGGCTCCAATTATAAGAAGAAAAAAGATGGGATTTTGAATTGGAAGAAGAAGAAAAAACAACTTGAAGTGAAGGTCAAATGCTTTAAAGAATGACCTGCATTGCGATATCAGGCAATAGAAGTGAAAACAATGGAATCCAAAAAAAGAAAAACATATACCTCATTTGATGAAATCAGATTACTATGCCACAACAAACCACGCTTTCAACACCTTCAACCAAAATAGAACGAATCTCACAAAATTTGGAACAATTTTTTTAAAAAAAATCAGAACCCACGAGCCAACATCGACAGGAATATCAGAAAAGAAGAAGAAAGGAAAAACCTTAAAGTCAAGATGCGTTGCGGAAGAAGAAGGGAAACAGTGGAAGAGAATCGATGAGTGAAATGTGACTGAGTTGGGTTAGAGAAGTGACGGGCTGACGACAGCATGGGAGAGTGGGTTGGGTCTTTGTTTGATTTTATTTTTTTAATTAAAAAAAAAAGTAACTCGAGAGCTGGCCCATTTGACCCGTGGGTTGGCTCATTTTTTTCTAGCTGGCTCAGGTTGGCAACTAATTTTTTTTCAACCCAACCCGACTCATTTTTCTCGAGTTACGAACCAACCCGACGGGTTGGCTCATTTTTGCCACCCCTTCTTATACTATTGTCATGCTTCAAAAAATCACCTTGTCATTTCAATTGTTGCAATTAAGCTCCTTATACTATATAATTTCAATAATTAAACATATCTGTTAATTTTTTTGCAAACACTGTTAACCATCATGTGCTTCTTTTCCATCTTCTCACTTGGTCTATGCAAATTCTGCGTAACTCTAGTATTTTCTTTTCAAAGGTTACCAGTTTCTTCTTTTTTCATTTTCTTTTAAGGTTATACAACCTTAGTCCCAACCTTTTATCACCATTTGGTGTATTCTATATCGTGTTTGAAAGGTCATTTTGCTTGGATCATGGAGGTTGAAAGTACGCTCTTAGTATGTAAGAAGTCTAAGGTTTATTATTAATATAAGAGATCAATGTTTGTTCACTATTAATGAAAGCATATGGAATCAACTAGCCTTTCCAACTTAAACTCATCCACCAGGATAGGTGTTTGACCTACTCCTCTAATGTGCACTTGCTCTCCCCAAAATGGTTGGTTCCTGAAGAAAGGTATAATAGTTGTTGGGCACTACAAAAGTACATAATAGAGATGACTATATTGTAAGATGCAAATAACCCTAAAGTTACAAGATTTCACATTATGATATACATTGCTTCAGCTCTAAGACCAACATTAGTAGTTCTAGCACCCCTATGATGTACCCATAACATTTGCAACTTTCCACCAAATTTTTCAATTTAAATTCAAAATAATTGTACTTCTATTAAGAAAAAATTTGTTGGTACTACAACAATGCAATATGGAAATAGCCAAACCTGTGGATAATTGTCCAATAAGTGGGAAAAAATTTTATTCTGCCACTGAGAAACAGAAATTACTACATATTATTCACAATCAGAGCAAAAAAAATATAGTATAATAATAGCATGCTTGAAGTAGAAATGAAGATTCACAATTACTAGGACCACCCCGACCTTTGTTGATAAAACCCCTCTACCGTATTTGTTCCAGAGTTTGAACTATGAGTTTTATCATTTTTTTCGGTTCATGTAGAGAATGTTTAGGACTCAAACCAAAAGTTAAATTAGAATAGAAAGTTTGCATAGCATAGCTGTATTTTGGTAATTAATACAATTAATTACTGAAAGTTCGCATAGCATAGCTGCATTTTGGTTCCAATATTATACTGACACAAAATTTCATTCAAGATAAATGTCTCATTGTTAGTTGAGTTAGTTTCAAAAAACTCATTTAAGTTATAGACACTTCCACTTCCTGGAACAATTCAAAAAAATTGACCTCTGTTTTTTTTTAGTACCTTAAAGGAGCAAAGGCCTAAAAGAAAAATTACAAGATCAAGGAATCAGAGTCCAAAAGAGGACTCACATAAAAAGGAGCTTTAGTTAGCAAAATAAAAGACTCCCTAGCCGAAATTGCTTGATTAGCAAGAAAATCAGCACCCATGTTGCCTTTTCTTCTCACATGAACGAAATTGATTTGTCAATTCATATTGCACCAGTTCTTTATGCTGCTAATAAGCTGGTGATGACAGCAAGCATCTTTTTCTCTGGTGATGGCTTGAATAGCAAGAAGACAGTCACTCTCCACCAATAAACACTGAGCTATACTCTCAAGCCACTCAGATTCCTATGTATACAATCCATATTTCTGCGATTAAGGGAGAAACAACTACCAATCTTATAATAAAACATGTTATCCAACTGCCATTTTCATCTCTTATGAGACCATCGCATGCAACTGTCAATGGATTCTTCTTCACAGCAGTATCCACATTAATCTTCCACCAGCCATGGGAGGGGGGCAACCCATCTAACACGCGAACTAGCTGGGAGGGAGTTTTGCATCTGAACCTGATTATACAAAGAAGCTCTGATATCTCTGATATATGCATAGATTATGGGAATATGATAGTCCGGTATGGAAAAGGAAGTTTCATGAATTTCATTGTTGCGCCACTTTCATAGGAACCAAATAATGGTAACAAAAATATTCTTCCAATCTCAAAGTTGGCGGTTAGGTCAAGTTTTGAGGAGATTTTTCTGAAGCCAATCTCCAAGAGGAAAGGAAAAGAAATCAGTTGGGGGAGAACCAGAAAACCAAGCAAACTAGAGAGAGCTAGCCTTGCTGCAGTCTCGGAGCACATGAAAAATGCTTTCAACTTGAGAAACACAAACATGGCAGAAGGGGAATCCACCCCATTTGGCATAATGCTCTATTGTGAGAATACGCCCATGATAGACCATCCAAACAAAAGAACGAATTCTTTAGGGTCCTCTCTAATTCTATATTATGTTCCAAGTTGGGTCAGACACCAAATAATCAAAATTCATCAAATGATTATAGGCCAGTTTGACCACATTCTTTTGGGTAACCATGTTTCCCCACACCAGACATTCATCTCCCCTCTTACTCGAAGGGGGAAAGATAACACAAATAGAATTCATAGCCTCCATAGATAAGATCCTTTGAAGTAACTCTAAATTCTAATCTTTGATTCTGTGGTCCACCATTTCTGCAACCCCGATCTCAACCGCACTAATCACCTAGTTAGAAAGAGCATAATCTGTAAGGGGTCTCTCAAGGTAAGTCCATTTGTCCTGCCAGAAAAGAGTGTCCTTCCCATTACCTACATCCCAATGCAGATTATCTAGGAACCCATTCCACACACTACCCAGGCTTTTCCAAAGAGTAGAATCATACGATTGAACTATAGTATATCTTCTTAAATCCAGGTTCCTCTTATATTTACTAGTGAGAACTTGCAGCCAAAGAGCTTATCTATTGCTAATCATTCTCCTCGCAACCTTATGCAAAAGGCTTCATTATGAATCATTAAATTGTGGATGCCCAGCCCTCCTATGAATTTAGGCTTGTACAGATTATGCCAGGAAATTAGGTGAACCTTTTTCTTCTCAATGGTGTCCCCCCAAATAAAGGAATGCTGAATTTGTTCAATCTCATTGCAAACTTATATGGGAAGAGAGTCATGCTGCATATGATAGACATGAATAGAGCTTATGATAGAATTG